GAGTGCAGGGAGAAATGTGTTTGCTTTGGATTAACGGCATTTGCTGCAATTCAGATGGATTAGAGAGAGGCATATTGCGTGATTTCAATCTCTTTCCAGTGGGTAGAGGCTACGAAACATTGTGAAAAAATAAGTCGTTCTGACAGTTATTAATTTATTTCCTAAATTTGTATAGCTGCCTATCTATATCAGATTACATTTGATATATCAGGTTTATTATACTATTAACTTTATTATCTATATATATATTATATGTAATATTAATATATATCATCTCTCCCTCTCCTCTTTCCCCTCCCCTCCCTTCTTCTTCCCCCTCCTCCTCCTCTCTCTCTCCCCCCCTCTTATTATCTGTATATAATCAGTGGAACGACTTGCCTTCAGAAGTTGGGGGTGCTCCAACACTGGAGAGTTTTAAGAACAAATTGGAGAGCAATTTGGCATGAATGGTAGAGGGTCTCCTGCTTGAGCAGGGGAGGTTGGCCTAGAACAGGGGTCGCCAACCTTTTGGACCTAAGGGACCACCAAACTCATTATTTTGAATCCCGCGGACCACAAATGTGAATTTTGACTCACATGGCTTGCTGACGTTGGTGGGAAGAAGAGGGGGAGAGAGAGAGAGAGACATCTGATCTAACCTCGGAGGGCTGGTGATGTGTTCTCTCTCTCTCTCTCTCTCTCTCACTCACACACACACACACACACACACACACAGAGAGAGAGAGAGAGAGAGAGAGAGAGAGAGAGAGAGAGAGAGAGATCCCTCACACACATACACACACACACCCTCCAAGGCAGCACATTCCTAGCCTGCTTTTGTTCTCCGGCTTCATGCAAGGAAAGCAGCAGAAGCAGCAGAAGTCTTTCTTTCTCTCCCCACAAACTCTGGCGGAAATGAGTTTGCCGGCACAGCCTCTTGGAGCAGGAGGCCTTGCAGGGTCCCAAAGACTCATTTCTGGCGGAGTTTGGGGGAGAGAAAGAAAGACTTTTGCTGCTTTCCTTGCGTGCAGCCAAAAGCAGAAGAAGAAAGAAGCAGAAAGAAGCAACCCAGTGGCCAGGCAAGTTCCCCCCCTCCGCCCTTTCCTCCCTCCCCTCACTACCTCGTGTTGTTCTCAATGCAAGCAATGCAAGCCTTGTGTTCTGTGAGCCATGTGGGCGGCGCAGCCTTGTATTCCTGTGCAGCCTAGGTTAATTGCTTTGGGGGTGACATTTCTCTGCGGACCACTAAAATTTTCTTGCAGACCACCAGTGGTCCTCAGCCCACTGGTTGGTGACCACTGGCCTAGAAGACCTCCAAGGTCCCTTCCAACTCTATCATTCTGCTATCCGACATAGGTGATTCTGGGCAGCATGAAGATTTAACAACAGGAAATTTGTTCCAGTTACATTTTTCAAATAGTGGTTTCACAGCTATATCTTTCACAGCTTTCGGGAATAGTTTTCTGTCTCAGTACTCCGTTAATCAGATTCCCGCCGGCCAGTGAGGTTATCTGGGAAGGATGCTTAGAGCCACACTTTCTCCGTGACTTCCTGGAACTCACTTTCCAGTAAAATAGGGTCAATTTAAAAATGAACAAAAAAGCATTGTCATTGGCCTACAGTGTTTGCTTGCTTTATTGTGTTTAGTTTTTTACTAAAGTAATATTTTTATTCTGCTTTAATTTCGCCATCTGTACATTTTTGTATGATTTAATTTGTGATGGAAACTAATCCAGGAGAGAAGCAACCTAGAACTAAGGAAAAATTTCCTGACAATTAGAACAATTAATAAGTGGAACAAGTTGCCTCTAGAAGTTGTGGGTGCTCCAATATTGGAGGTTTTTAAGAAGAGATTGGATAGCCATTTGCCTGGAATGGTATAGGATCTCCTGCCTAAGCAGGGGGTTGGACTAGAAGACCTCCAGGGTCTCTTCCAACTTTATTATTCTTTTATTTTGAGTTTTGTAGATATTTAAACGTCAGTATGTTGTCTGAAGAATTTTGAGGCTATAGCCCAGACCCTCTCACGTTAATAATGAAAAACCAGAATAAACATCTCAGGGTACAATAGATCTCTTGACTTGCAAATATTGACAATTTTTTCCTGCGTCAGAAAGTTTGAAATTGTTTCTTTTCCAATGACCTGGATCAAAAAAGGAGGTGAATAAAATCTAATTGACACGTGAAGTACTTTTGGTGAAAAATTTAATTCTGCCCCAGTAATGAAAGGAAGTAGACTTTTGGTTAATAACGAAGCTTCAGAGATTAGGAAGATATGGAATTTTTGCTTTTTACTCCCATCATCACCCCCTGCATGGGTATTTCTCTCCTTTTTTTTTTTTCAACGCTTCCTTCAAATGGTTACATTCAGCATTGGTTACATTCAGCATTTCTTTTGCATTAAAGTCAAATTTTAGAATTCACGGAAACTTCAAGTCACGAGGAAGAATCCTTTATCTGTACCTGTCCTTTGCCTCATGAGAAAATGGTTAGTCTGTAGAAGCTCAGATTTTGTTGAGGGAAGCATGCTTTAATTCTGAAGCTCATTTCCATTTTGACCTGATGTTTCATTCCATTCCAAATTGTCATTTGTAGTTTATGTGCTGTCTGACAAAATTATAGTACCTCGTTATCCCATAACCTCTAGGAACATGTAAGAAGGAGGCCAGCTTTCCTTGAAAACTGGGCCCTGAATATAAAGATAACATTAAAGTTTTACTGTTATAAAAGCACACTTAGAGATGAATAAAATACACATCACATAAGGGGAAAGCAGATTGGAAATAAAATAGTATGGCTGCTTTGAGCCTGTATCAGTTTTAATGATTTAAGTATTATTTTTTGAAATGCAATCAATTTATCCTCCCTAATAATTAAGATATGTATCTTTGGGAAAAATAAATGTCATTTAAGTATTATTTTTTTTCAAATGCAATCAACTTATCCTCCCTAATAATTAAGAGATGTACCTGTGGGAATCATAAATGTCATAGTGCAGAAAAAGAGAATCCTAAAACCATTTTTAAAAAATCTAAATATGTTAGCTGCTTGATTAAGCTATTTAAGAGCTTCTTATTATGCAAATAAAATGCTGAATCAGATTAATTTCTTTCCGCTTTTTGTTTTTGCAAAACCTGAACTCTTCTTTCATTAAAAATATAACCACAGGGTTATTTTTATTTCTCTCTCCTCTAACATTGCTCACTTACAGACGGAGAAGAATGTGACTGTGGTTCTCCTTAGTGAAATTGTATGGGAACTTCTTCGTCCAAACACAGGATGCCTTGAGCCTTTGCCTTTATATTTCCCAGATTACAGCATAGGTAAGGACAAAATAAGTAAACATACTGTGCCCCAAAGGTGCTTTTTTAGGAGGTAACTGGACTTTCTAGTTTTTTCCTTGAAGATGTTTTGCTTCTCATACAAGAAGCGTCTTCAGTTCTGACACGGTATTGGGGAATGGAAGGATTTATATTCCTTGCAGACAGCTAAATCCTTCCATTCCCCACTATCCTGTCAGAGCTGAAGAAGCTTCTTGGATGAGAAGCGAAACGTCTTCATGGAAAAACAAAGAAAGTCCAGTTGCCTTTTCAAAAAGCACCTTTGGGACAACCATAACCTGGATGACTGAGAATCTCTACAGACTTTTAGCTATACAACTTGAGATGAAGACCCTTGGAATGGTTGGGGAGTAGGAATGGATTTCTAGAGGGAGGGAAAATTGAAGACTACAGGCACTATTGGTACTACTTAGATCAGCAGTTGCCAACCGGTGAGCCGTGGCCCACTGGTGGGCCGTGGCAAAATTTTGGTAGGCCGTAGAGAAATCTCACCCCCAGAGCACCCCCCCAAGCAATTAATCCAGGCTACGCAGAAACACAAGGCTGCGCCACCCACATGGCCTGTGGGAACCCTCCCCGCCCACTCACTCTTTACCCAAAAAACTTGCCTACTAAATTGCTATTTTTCAGACCATCAGCTGTTCTGCTGTGCCGGGAGATTTAGATTAGCTAGGAAGCAGGAAATGGTTGGATTTCTTGCTTTCTAGCTAGTCTTTAGATCTTTGGCTCTGCTTTTAAGCACAGCCGAACCTCCCTTAGGACTGAAGGTTCTATTATTCAGTGCAGACTCATGGCAAGTTTGCAAAAGTCCCAGTGCGCAGCCCGTTCCTGCATTCCAAGCGCCCAGGCCGAGCTGCAGCTGTCCCTCTCTTGCCAGCGCCGTCTCCAATAACAGCGGCAGTAGCAGTGGGAACCCTAGAAGTTACGGAGGTGGCTCCCCCACCCGAGAAGCGGCTGAAACGCTTCAGAGATTATGGGGGCTGGCAGCAGCGATGAGGAGGTTCCCGAGGAGCCTGTTCCAAGTGCGTGTGCATGAAGGATTGCTCGGAGGAAAGAGCAGTTACAACAGCATGGGGGACTCGGGAGTAAGGCTGCAAGGTAATGGCCCCTCCTTCAAGAAGATAAAAGCCAGCTGTGAAACGAACGTACTTTGCAGAAGGCAAAGACGTTTTGAAACTCCAGCCTCGTGGACATTCCAGTATCCTGAGTTCGTATTTGAAAATTCTTACTTTGCAAATTATTTCTTGTCTGTTATCTTTTGGCAAGTCTCCCACAGTTTGGTAAGACTTGTGCTTATCACAGCTAATTATTTTGTAAAAGCATTACAAGGTTTCTGTTCCTTTTGGATTGTGTTTGATTTGTTGGAAAAGGGCGTGGGTCAGAACATTATTTGAACTTATGACCCGCATTGAACAAGTGGCACTTAAAACCAATTCTCAAAAGTTCTGGCTCTCGTAGTGTCCCACAACACATGATTTGCAACCTTCCCTTCCAGCTTCCTATAAGCAAAGTAAATGTCAGTGGAGATTCTTGGTCATCCAGGTCATGGTTGTCCCAAAGGTGCTTTTTAAAGAGACAATTGGACTTTCTGGTTTTTCTTTGAAGACGTTTCACTTCTCATCCAAGAAGCTTCTTCAGCAGAGTTACGAGTCCCCTTTTGTGACCTTCTGACAAGCAAAATCGACGGGGAAGCCAGAAGGACTTAACAAATGTGTCAAGAAAGCTTGTGAAAATGGGACAAAGTTCACTTAACAACTGTCTCACTTAGCAACAGAAATTGGGGGCTCAATTGAGGTTGTAAATCAGGGACTACCTGTACAGTCTGCTTGTGTGAGTTATCCCAGGATCTGGATAGATGTGGGTATGCATGACTAGCCAGCACTAAAGCCATGGTAGCTGTAAACTTGTCTCACTCAATATTCTTACATTCAGTTAATATCCTTTGATTTCTTCCATGTTAGTATTTCTTTTTTTCCCTAAGTGGTTTTATGAATTAGTAATATGTTTTGCCTGAGTTCGTTTTTGTATGATCTATATTTCATTTATTAACAGACTTGGTTCAGATAATTAATCAATCATAGGCTTAATTTCTTATGACTGCAGAATCATTTTCTATAATTTATTTTATAATCATTTCTTAAAATACAAGTCCTTTCCTATGCACAGTTCTCATATTAAAAAAAGGAAGTTCCTTCTTGTTTAGATTTCACTAATCTTCGCAAATGAAATGAGTTATCTTTCAAGCATTTTCATTCATTCCAAACATCTACAGGGCATTCACAAAATATATAATAAGTCAATTTCTGATATTGAAGCTTAAGATAACAAAACACATAACACAAAGGGAAAAAAGCATTGGTGAGAGATGGGGAAAATGTGCATTAGATTCTAATATTAAAAATTGTGTTTAGTTTGTAACCACATCAGATGCAGCTTAGAAAGAAGGGATCTAAAATGGTTCTCCCCTCAGCTGATGGGATTCCTTTCTCAGCTACAGCGTGATGGGCTGAGAGATGATTAATAGAAAGGCTCAGGGGTAGACTTCAAAAACTTTAGTAAAGGGTTCTCTGCCCGGTTGCTGGGTGGGCGTGGCCATGGTGGGTGTGGCCTAGTCAGCCTCCTGCACCATGGCGGGGGAGGGCGTTTTTGCCCTCCAGAAGCTTTCCTCCAGCCTCCAGGAGGGCGAAAACAGCCTCCCGGGGCTCTGGAGGCTCTCTGGAAGCCAGAAACGGGCCCACTTCTGGCCTTCCTGAATTTCCAAGAGGTCCGCTTTTCGCCCTTCCTGAGCCTCCACACGTGCCCTGCACTTACCTGCATCCAAAACGGGCCAAGTGGGGACCCCTGGGAGTGGCGGGGTGGTGTGGATGGGGCCAGCCAGGAGTGGGATTTGGGGGTTCTCCAAACTGCACAGAATCTTAGCTCGGGGCTCTCCCGAACCCCTGCGAACCCCCAGCAGCCCACCCCTGGAAAGGCCTGATGACTTCAGCTTTCTTCTTACATTTAATATTAAATTTTATTTAGCCTTCAATAATAGTGTCTTAAATATACCGTTATAACTGAGGAGGTTCTAATAATAAAAAATAGAGTATCTAAGTAGCTAGGTTTTGTTGCTAGTACGAAGATTCTAAAACTATTTCACTGTGAGCTCATTGTATTTTGCCGATTTAATTCCACTTTAAACATCTCAAATATTCAATGTACAGGTTGTCCCTGACCTATAACAGTTCATTTAGTGACCATTCAAAGTTACAACTGTAGTGGAAAAAGTGACTTACGACCGGTTTTCCCAGTTACGAACTTTGCAGCACCCCCAAGATCATGTGATCAAAATTCGGACGCTTGGCAACTGGTTCATACTTATGAACCTTGCTGTGTCCCAATCATGTGATCCCTTTTTGTGAACTTCCGACAAGCAAAGTCAATGGGGAAGCCAGATTCACTTAACAACCAGGTTGCCAACTGCAGTGATTCACTTAACAACTGAGGCAAGAAAGGTCATAAAATGGAACAAAACATTTAATAAATGTCTCACTTAACAATAGAAATCTTAGCTCAATTATGGTCATAAGTTGAGGACTACCTGTATTTCAGAAGTTTTAATGGGTACGGGGGCAAGCAATTTATTAGAAACATCTTATTTTCCACTATCATCATTCTCAGAATGATGTACTAAGAAAAACATAAACATGTGTAAAATATGAATATCAGATAATCAGCAAATAATGTTAACATGCCTGGCAGTTAATATTTACTATATAAATGAACAAGGACCCTAAGGGACATATTAATAAAATGTTTACCTGAGTTGAAAAAAGGGTAATTTCATTGCTTGAGGCTTAGGAGATTGCTTTGGTCAATCTGGGTATCTAATAAAAAAGAAGAAATTGTGGTAGATGTTTTCTTCAAAGAGAATTGTATCTAAGGAAATTGAAAGCATGATAAGATTTTAATGAAGAAGATTCGGGCTGCCTGTGATTGATTGGCTTAGATTAGAATATTACTTGAGCTAGATAGTTAAGAAGAAATCCTTTTATTTTTTCAAAATGGCTTAACAGCAGGTTTCTTTGTCTTACATAAAAATTCTGTGTGGTGTCTCCTGAATTTTAGCACTGAAAAACAATGCAGCAAGCCACTCTATGAACCTTAGTGAAAAATCACGCTCTTGTTGTTTAATTCAAATAGGACATCTGCAGAAGATTCTGTCCCATGATCATCCTCCAGAATATTCGTTTGATTTTTATGCCGCATATATCAATATTCTTCTTGGAGTCTTCTATCCAGTCTGCAGGGACTTGAAGGAGCTCCAACATCTGGTGAGGGATCTCTTTGTTATTCTTCATAATAAAGATAAAATAACCTTTATTGTCACATTTTTCTGTGAACACACTGGCAAACATTAAAAAATAAAATTCTAATTCATTCTCTCTCTCTCTCTCCCTCTCCCTCTCCCTCTCCCTCTCCCTCTCCCTCTCCCTCTCTCCCTCCCTCCCTCCCTCCCTCCCCCCTCTCCATAGGCACATACATATACATATATACATATGATTGATACATACACACACATATATTTCACAGGCAATTTAGAATACGTAGTGAATCTTTAAATTCTAAACGATACTAAATAAACCTTTCACTCTCTATCTTACAGGCTGCACTTAATTTTTCTAAATATTGTGAACCTGTGGTCCAAGGAGAGGGTGAGTAGTTTACTTTCATATGAATGCTTTTATATGAATGAATTCTGCCTTGTCATGGATACATATAGGCTGAGCAGCGCAGTAGCCTAGAGGTGAAGATGCTTACCTCCCACTTGGAAAGTTGAGAGTTCAATCCCAGGCAGCGGCAGATGTTTCTCTATCAGGACTCAAAAGAGAAAATATCTGCATAGGCATCAGGAAGGGCATCCGGCCAGTAAATGCTCAGCTCCATTCAATCGCCCTGACCCTGTCCTGATAAAAGGGATTGTAGGATCATAAAAAAAATTGGAACACATGTTAGTCATGTCATGTTAGTTCAATAGGAGACAAAAATTACACCAGAAATTACAAAGCACTAAGCTATGTGGAAAATATCTCAGGAGTAAGCAGCAGCAAACAATTTCCATATTTTGGGCAATAAAACTCCATGGAAAACTCCCTGTAGTCACCAAGTGTCAACTAGACTGAAATGATTTTTTTTTTACCTACTTAACATGTAGGAAGTAGAAAGCCTCTGGGAAATAGGCTCCTACCATTCTTATTCCAGATCTTAAATATGACCCTGTACTATTAAAATGCAGGCATTTTGCCGCAAAGTTTGGTATTTGCTGAGCCTGGGAGATGCATGTAGATCACCTGCTGCCCACCTGTGGAAAGCCATGAAAAGAATTTCCAAGTAAAATTGTGGATGCATTTTTTATTTACATCTTTTTTGCTTTGAAAGTTCTGTGGTTTGAGATTAACTCAAACAGTGCGGTTTCAGTGTCATAAAGATTCAAAAGTTACTGTAAGCTTCCCTAGCTTGGCACTTTACTGATGTATTCCGACTACAGATTCCAGAATTCTTAGCCTGAAAATAACTTAGCCATGTTGGCTAGATATTCTGGAACTTCTAAGTGAAGAATGCATGGAGTCAGAGAAAACTTGAATAAAGTTGGCAATGATTGTTATATAGCTGGATGCTCTTCAGAGATTGACCCTGATCAAATTGTCTTTCCATGGTTACAGCGAATGAACGCGACACACGCCGACTGTGGAAAAACATTGAATCCCATTTGAAGAAAGCTATGCAGACGGTTTATCTTCGAGAAATATCAAGGTAACGGCTTCTCTTCCTTCCCCTTATTATTTTTTTTACAGCAACCTTGAACTATCAAATATGAAAGGGTTTTTATTTTCCAATTATGATGAGTGTCCCTATCTGTTTAAACTCTGCTTAATACGGGTCAGAGTTTATTTCTTTTTACCGATGAAAAATATGCAGTTACTCAAATGATATGGAAGGCATGTAGTGTGGAAGATTTCTTGTATGCGTTCACTATTAAAAGCAGTTGCAGATAAGGGCAAAATGCTGAGAAAGAACTGTGAATTATATATAGAATAACAGAGTTGGGAGGGACCTTGGAGGTCTTCTAGTCTAACCCACCATTCAAGCAGGAGACCCTATACCATTCCAAACAAACGGTTGTCCAATCTCTTCTTGAAAAACCTCCAGTCTTGGAGCACCCACAACTTCTGAAGGCAAGTCATTTCACCGGTTAATTGTTCTCACTGTTAGGAAATTGCTCCTTAGTTCTAGGTTTGATTTCTCCTTCATAAGTTCCTCTTGTCCTGCCCTCAAGTGCTTTGGAAAACAGGTCACCTCATTGAGAAGCTGCTATTTTCTCTTTATGGGAAAATCACTGGTATCAATGGGCATTATCTATATTCTTTCTTATGAAAGGTAATATGATGCCAGGGTGAGACTGAAAATCTCCTCCAGTTCCACACCTCCAGTGTGATTCAGACCCTGTATGTAAAGAGAGAGAAAGACCGCATTAATCTTATGTCCTATTATCTAATTTAACCCTCATATATATAATTGTAAGAGAAATAAAAGGCAAATATTCCTTTTAAATAAAGCTTGTTTTCTGTTGATTGCAAGTGTGGAAACAAACTGCCATCACAATTAAAAATGTGTGAAACGTATGTTATTGACGTCAGATAAAAGGGGAGAAATTCAGCCATGATAGCTGAAGAGGAACGAGAAGTGCTTCCTTTTTAAAACACGATATGCTAGCTCTCCAGCTTGACCTCTTAAGACAACTGAGAGCAAAACCTGATTGTTGATGGGGTTTTTTGGGAAGGTTGCAACTCTCCTGCCAGTTTGCATAAGAGTGTTTCAGTCAAGACATGATGTTTCTAATGTGAAATGTTTTTAAAACAAACAAACAAACGAGGAAGTCTAGTTGTCTTTTTTTGAAAACCACCTTTGGGGCTACATTTCTTAAGGTTTTTGGTTGTCTGCAGAAAAATGGGTAGCAAATATATTTTATCTCATTCCTCCGTTTATATCAGTAGTATTTCAACCTTTTAATTAACATCTGATATAAATGTATTTACAGTATGTTGAATCTATCTAGTAAGGAAGTATCACATGAAATGTTAAATAATAAACGTTGATCTCAGTTTAGGTACTGAAATATACCAGAGTAACTGATGAATTTCATTTGGTCTTTTTTTTTCTTCGAAAGAAGGGAAAGCTTATTGATTCACGTCTAGTATTTATATAATTTGCACAATTACTTAGCAAAAACTGTTTTCTGATTCCCTACTGAACGTGTATATTTTGAGGTAGCGGGAAGGCAGCTGTATGTTTGGATGAAATTTCCTGTATTGTACCTAGGACAATAGCATCACAGCTTCATGAAGGAACATTCTTACAAAATGTTTAAAATAATGCCTGGTTTTCTCTTTAGTTGTCAAACTGTCTATCCAGTGAAATAATCTTGTATTGTTCCTGCTGTAGATGTACTATTAAACAACTTCACTGCTTTACTCCTTTAATCCCAAAGAATCTCAAATGTATCATCTTAAAAGGGAGGATAAAAAAACCCTTTGCTTTCAGCCACGACAAACACAGGGCTTTTAAATGGCTACCTTGTCTTTTTAGCTCCCAATGGGAACGATTACAGCAAGATAATGGAGAACCTGGACAAGTAAAAGGTATGTGTAGCAACAATAGTTTGGCTTGTGTAAATTATTGATGATGAGAGGAGCCTTAACAATTTAGAACAAATCAGCAAGCATTTATAAATATACCAGCAGCTTCAACCCCTTCCCCCAAACCAAAAACAAATTTTTAAACAATCTTAATCTGTGGGCAAGAACCTTTAAATTGATTTTTTTTTTAACATGAGCTTTTAAGTTGTCAGATTCAATATTTCTTTGTTTTACCGTTTTTCCCCCCCCCTAGGACTTTCAGCCCATGCTCATGTAGAACTGCCCTATTATTCCAAGTTTCTTCTAATAGCAGCTTATCTAGCCTCTTACAATCCTGCCCGGACAGATAAAAGATTCTTCGTTAAGGTAATTTAAGTTTCTTATTTTTGTCTTTAAGGTGTCGCAGATTCAAATATTTTTTTTAAAATAATAGTTTCTATGGAAGATTTTTTTACATGGATAAAACATGAAAATATCTAAAGGAAAATGGAAAGTGCAAAAAGCAATGCAGTTCGGACAAGAAAGAAAAAAAAGATAAAGAAGAAAGTTTGGATCTTCTTTGCAGAAGCTACAAACTTATAAGTAGTCCTCACTTAATGGCCATTTGTCGTCAGTGCTGAAAAAAGGGACTTATGACTGGTCTTTGCACTTATAACCATTGCAGCCTCTCTGTGGCCGTGTGATTGCAATTTGGTTACTTGGCAACTGTTGCAAATTTATAATGGTTGCAGTATCCTGGTCTTGTGATCAGCATTTGTGACCTTCCTAGCCAGCTTCCAACGAGCAAAATCAATGGGTTGGAAGCTCCAATCATGACCTCGGGTGTTTCTCTTAAATGACCACAATCTGAAAGTACTTTAAATAAAGCGATATTTCAAATTTAGCTGTCTCTTAGTCCGTTCCTAGCTCTCACATTTCAGACTTAATGGCCAGCCTTCGGCTATTTAAATCCTTGTAATTATTTGCTCCCTTTTTATATTAACCTTTCCAAGGAGTCAAAAATGCCCTCCCTGGGTGGTTTAGGGCACTCTTGACACTTGAAATATCTCTTATCTGCTTTAAATTTCTCAATTCCAGCGATCTGTGGAGAGTCTCAGTCATCCATGTCATAGTGGTCTGGAAGGAGGAGGAGGAGGAGACAATTTCTCTTCTCATCCAAGAAGCTTCATCGGTTCTAGCCGGATTGGGGAGGGGTGTTACAGAAGGATTAGTTCTGATAGGAAGGATCATATTTCTCTGCGGTCATCTGGACTTAGGCACTCTTCTTGGAAGCTCTTGAGGCCACTTGGGGCCCTGAGGGTCACCTGTATCAGAGTGCAAGTGGAATGTTCTTGGAATTGTTGAAAGGAATTGTAAACAGGAGGTAGATGGAATCGTATCCCTCCCCTTCTGTTGAGACAGGGCTATTCAGTTTTGATGTAGATGGCCTCCTTGACCCCTCTTTTCAAACCAGCTGTCCTCTCTGTCCACATTCTGGATAGAGGAGAGGATAGAGTCTGCCATCCAAACCCCCAGAAAAGTTCAAAGTAATCGAGGATGTAAGAGCAAGAGGCTAGGTTTAGTATTGATGAAATACCATCTAAATGAAGGCCAGATAGTCATTTGGATTGAACTGCTTAAAAATAAATTGGATGGGAGAGACTTACCTCAGAATAACTTTTGACTAACCAACTGGATTGCCCATTGACTCAAATGGCACTCATATGATTGCAGGGCTTATGGTAACAGGTCATAAATGTGGTCAGGTTGCTAAGCAACCCAGATCACAATCATGGGGCAGCCAGAACTCTTGGGAACCAATCCTAACCACCATTAGTTCAGCACCATCCTAACTTAGAAAGGTAGTTGACCGGAATGATTGTAGGTTGATAGTAGACATTCCAAGCTGGAAGCTCTATTGCTTTGCTATTGTTACGTAAATGGTTAATGAAGAAAAAAATAAAAATAATTATAGTTGTAATATGCATGCAGAAATACCCTGATTCTCCACCATCTCCCAGGTGGTTGCCAGTTCTGTAAACGTCTTCCTAATCATGACTTTCTTCATTTTACTTGCAGCATCATGGGAAAATTAGGAAAGTAAACTTTCAGAAGAAGCATGAAAAGGTATTTAGCTCTATGTTTCTGATCTATATAAAAATGTTGTTTCATATATATTCTGAATTGTTTAACGTACAGGTAGTCCTCAACTTACAACAGTTTAGCGACTGTTCAAAGTTACAACAGCACTGAAAAAAGCGGCTTATGACCATTTTTCACACTTCTAACTGTTGCAGCATCCCCATGGTCACATGATCAAAATTCAGGGGTGTGGCAACTGACTCACATTTATGACGGTCACAGTGTCCCGGGGGGTCACGTGGTTTCCCCTTTTGCAACCTTCTGACAACCAGACTCCCTTAACGACGGTGTTACCAGTTTAACAACCACTGTGATTCCCTTAACAAACATGGCAAGAAAAGTCGTAAAAGGGGGCACTTGACAAATTTCTCACTTAGTGACATCAATTTTGGGCTCAGTAGGGGTCGTAAGTTGAGGACTATCTGCTCATATGGGTTTGGACAACTGGAGTAGTAAAGTGAACAAGATTAGTTCTGCAAGATTCCAAGCAAGTACAGTTAACAATTCTTTTTATGTTTTAAAAAACCACAACAGACCAGCAACCATCTTCTGGGGCCGAAGCCCTTCCCATTGGACAGATTGCTAGCCATCCTCTACAGCATTGTCGACAGCCGAATTCCTCCAACTGCAAATATATTTTCCCAGGTGAGTGAAACGGTCGCATGTTTCAAGCCTTGACACAAATTTCAGACCTCTCTTACGTACAAAATAATCACAAACTTGTTACTGCTGATGTTACAATTACAGATCTTCCCTGACTTAACAACAGTTGATTTAGTGACCGGTCGAAGTTACAGCGGCACTGAAAAAAGTGATTTATGACCATTTTTCACTCAGCCATTGTAGCTTTGGAAGCCATATTGAAACCAGATGCTCCCATGCTGCCACATTTTGAACCTGGGAAAGTGGGAGGGTGGAAGTTCTTGGCGTTTGTTTAGTTAGACAAAATAACATCCTTTTTGTAGTTCAAGGTCATGCTAGTGTGCGCATATGTGAGGGGAAGTATTAACTTGGGACGGATGATGATTGGGGCATGTGATGTGATGATGGGTGTAGGGGGTTGGATTTGTAGTTTTGATTACTGCAAGGAAGCCCCGAATTTTCAGATTCAGGATTCCCCCAGTTACTATCCAAATAAAAAGAGAACTTTTGAGCAATGTCTGTCTCGGAGTTATTGGTTGGAGTGGTGGTTTGCTGGAACGCTGACAGTAGCACTCCCATAATTACATGATCAAAATTTGGATGCTTGGCAAGTGGTTCGTGACGGTTGCAGGGTTATGTCATCCTCTTTTGCAACCTTCTGACAGAGTCAGATGGGGAAGGCAGATTCACTTAATGAGTCACTTATGAACCATGGCCAAATTGACATAAGTGACTCAGGCAAGGCATTTGTGATTTTTCAATTAACAAGTGCATTGTTTTGACCCGGCTCCCAAACGCGACAAACCCTCTGTAGTTAACTACCGTATTTATCGGCGTATAACACGCACTTTTTTCCCCCTGAAAATAGGGGGCAAATGATGTATGCGTGTTATACGCCGATATAATGTTAAGAAGCCTTCGGTGAATGCTGCTGGGATCGGGGATCAAGGACACAAATGAAAGAAGGGGAGGGAGGAAGCAACCGAAGCCTGTCCTTCTCTCTGGGTCAGCTCTCTCAGTCGCTGTCTCGCTCCTCCACGAGCACAGGAAGAAACTGCTTCAAAGAAGCGGGGGGGGGGGCTTTTCCTGTCGCCTTTCTCCCCCACCCCGTCCGCCCGCCCGCCCGCCGTGCTCCGTTCTGCCTGCCTGCCTGCCTTCGTTAATGGTTGAATCGGAACAGCTTCGGCTGAGTAAAAGAGGCGAATAGTTATTATTCTCAGCCGAAGCTGCTCCCAAACAACCAGAAACTAAGGCAGGCAGGCAGGCAGGCAGAATGGGACACTGTGGATTGAAGCGCGCGCGTGGGGTGGGAGTGGGGGTGAAATTTCCCTCTTAAAATGAAGATGCGTGTTATACGCCTGTGCGTGTTATACGCCGATAAATACGGTAAATGTTTCCTTAATTAGGAGCTCCAGCAGCACTGGCAAAACGTCTCTCTCTCACACAGCAGGCTAACAAGTCTGGCAGGGAGATGAATAATTGTCTGCCACATTTATTCATCTCCGCCCCCTGCCTTTTATCCCCAGAGCTAGGGTGGGGCTTCACTAGCAGTGGTGGCTCTTCCATCCCAAGGACCGGCCCATAGATTTCCACCGCTCTCCTCTCCTCTGCCTTCTGCACACCTGTGCATCAGGCACTGTACCCAGTTGTTCCTCCTCTTCCTCATCAGCCACCTCCAGACCTGGGGGCTGTTGACTCTCCATCTGAGGGCTGACGGACGGCCCAGTCTCCGCTTCTGTCTCTCTCTCTCTCTCTCTGCCAACTCCATTCCCTCTTTCTCCTCGGAGCTCTCAGGTTGCCTTAATGCTGGCCTTGACTCCCACACTACCTCCTCCTCTGATTTGGCTGCTGGAGGGGCTGGCAGCCGACAGGCTACAACAGCATGTTACTGTTTTGCCTTCCAAATATACTTTTTGCTTATTCTGTAAGGATTTGGGTTATCGTGTGAATGTGCACTAGATGGCACTGTATCCTCATTAATAAAAACAGTCTCACAGCAATTTTATAAAAGCAAATGAAAATGGTAGCAAATAGAAGGGGGCAATAAAACCTAATACTGCTCGTGGGATATAAAAAAATACTCCATGTTTAATCTCTCCCATAAAGGACAATTGAATACTGGACCTACTTAATTGAACAACGAATATATGAATTCATATATTCAGGTATAATTTTCTGTATAGTAATGTGGCTTTACTTTGCTTTTATTTATAAAAAAACAACTTTTGAGAATAAATGAATTTGTTCTGTCCTTTTCAAATTTGTTCACTCATTCTGCTTTCTCAATCAACTTTTTGTAAATGTGCCTTCTTTTAGTTGAACTTTGACGATCTGCCTAATCTGAGCATCAATCTAGAGTCTGAAAAAGGAGAATTATGTTAACAAGTGATGGAATTAAGTCAGTAATTATTTTAAGTCTGTTGGAAACAAGGGGTTTGACTTTGCGACAGAAAAAAAATAAAATAAAAAGCTAAGATCACAGTTCTAATATTATCAGAGCTAAAGAATAATTTAGTGACATGCGAGATTTATTAGAAACCAGTTTGGGTATCTTTAAGCTGAAGAAGATAATCTTCCTTCAGTTTCTTTGTTTGATGATCAGCTAGAAATCACTAGTCTGTAATTTGATTTTTTTGATTGTCTTCTTCCTGGGATCTTCTGGTTGATGGAAGAACCCACATATTTTATTTGGACAATAGGGAAATATAAAAGCTTGATGCTCAATAGGTGGACACAGCTCAGAAACTTTCAAAGCTAAATCATAACTGTCTTTGTTGTGTTGGAATCACTGCAGAATAACAGAATATCAAAGTTGGAAGGGACCTTGGAGATCTTCTAGTCCAACCCCCTGCTCAAGCAGGAGATCCTAAACCGTTTTAGCCAAATAGTTGTCCAGTTCCTTCTAATAAGCCTCAAGTATTGGAGCACCCACAACTTCTGAAAGCAAGCTCTTCCACTGATTAATTGTTCTCACTGTCAGGAAATTTCTCCTTAGTTCTAGTTTGCTTCTTTCTTGATTAGTTTCCATCCATTCCTTTGGAGAATAGAGAATAAAATAGAAATAGAATAGCAGAGTTGGAAGAGACCCTGGAGGTCTTCTAGTCCAACCCCCTGCTAGTTTGACCCCCTCTTCTTTGTTGCAGCTCCTCAAATATCATGTCACCCCTTGTCCTTCTTTTCATTAAACTAGACATACACATTTCCTGCAACCATTCTTCATATTTTTTGGCCTCCAGTTCCCTAATATTCTTTGTTGCTCTTTTCTGCACTCTTTTTAGAGTCTCAACATCTTTTTTTATATCATGGTGACCAAACCCGATGCAATATTCCAGTCAAAGCACTCTAAAGTGTTGTACAATTGTAGCTAATATTTCTTTGTCACAATACTGTGTGGAACAACTTAATTTTTACCGTGTTTCAGAATATACACCAGATGGCACTTTTATCAAAGAATTCTAGTCTGAAGCTTCTTTTAGACAGCTTCTTTAATGATCTGACTCTTATTAAAATCTTTTCAAAAGCCAACACTCCATTCAAGGACTTGAAATTGAGCATAATAAAAGTGTATATTTCAATGCATGTAATCGTCTCCCATGAGATTGTAGACAAAGAAAATGAAAACTAGGAGGACGAAGAGAGCAGCATGTATATTCACCACCTTGAGTTACTTAGAAAGTAATACAAGTGGGATTTTAAAAAGTCTAATAAATAAAATAAATAAAACCTGGGCTAGACTGTGTTTACCACTAAAAGGACCCAGAACTGGTTGAATAATTGGAAAAGAGAAGATCAAAAAGAGACATGATTGTTATGTTCATTATCTAGAAGATTATTACCATGTAGAAGATGATTAGGACTTTGAATTTATATTAGAATATAGAACAAGGAGCAAATAGGTACACATTATCAGATTGTTCATTTTAATTGGACGTCAAGAAAAAATTCCTAATAGTAAGACTTACTCTTTAGGACTTTCTGGGTATTCTTCTGCTCTGGAAGTATTTGAGCAGAAATTGGATAGTCATGGAATGGACTACTAGATCATGGGTGTCAAACTCGCTGCATCATGTTTATGTCGCGTAATGCATCGTGACGTTTTTTGCCTTGGTGGAGCTGGGGTGGGCGTGGCCTGTGTATGACGCATCCAAGCCACGGGCTACCAGAGTGACATTCCTGGACTAGTTCATCTTTAAAGTTCATTTCGTTCTATAATTCTTTACCATTCATGACATTTTTATGGGATTATCATAGAATTTCTCAGAGGCTAATTTCTATTGCGCATCCTTCTATCTCTACAGAAATATATTGTTGTGGGCTATTATGCCCAATTGCCATCATTTGAGGCTTGGGGACATGGAATATTTCAGTCAATAAGGTGAATCTTCTTTGCATGTAATTGTGTTATTGTGTTTCTTTCATGTGTGCCCATGCTTTTACACACGCATGCACCCCGCCCAATATTTAAATGCTCAGGTATAACACAGATTTGAGGCACATCTGTCCTGATGGATGTCAGCTGCTCAGGTGTGAACAACTACAGCAGTAGCCCTTGGAATTCAGTCTAGATGCCTTATGTAGCCTGATTGATTCAGATTTTCAACTGGAAGAAACAGAACTGGTAAAAATGATTTTTTTTCTTATACTCAGGAAAAGCCCCCTCTCAATCCCCCCCAAAAGATCAATTCCACCCCCGCTTCCATTCTTTTCTCTGTTTTAGAATACTTGACAAATCAGTGTGAGAGGAATTTCATACCCATTACAGGTAGTCTTTGACTTACCACCACAATTGAGCCCAGAATCTCTGTTGCTAAGTAAGACGATTATTCAATGAATTTTGCCTCCTTTTACGGCCTCTTCATGCCACAGTTGTTAAGGGAATCAACCCGGCTGTCAAGTTAGTAACACAGTTGTTAAGTGAATCTGGCTTCCCCGTTGACTTTGCTTGTCAGAAAGTCGCAAAAGGGGATCATGTGATCCCCAAGACACTGCAACCGTAATAAATA